TAGCAAACCCATAAGAGTGTCACAACGTGACGTCAATATTCCAACATGACCTCACTATAGATATTCATAATGCTACCAGCTAACTCAATAAAATGTTGGATTATCTTAAGACATCTGTTCAGATATCTGGGGAATTTGGACATTCCTAGAATGATTTTCTGTATTTGAAAACAAGCAGAGCAAATTAGCACTGTTATCATAATTAATTTTAAAATCCTTTTTTATAAGTTTAAATGTTTTTTACAAGGCTTCTGGTGAGTCATCAGGCCTAAAATACAACACATAAAGCCGCAGTCAACCGAAGGAATATTCTTAGCTAGAGGAGAGCCAGCCAACATTTAGGCATTACTTTATTGTCAACTCTGGGAATCCAGCACATCCCACCCACACAGATGAAAGCCAACTGTTAAGTGGTGGTGTCTGCTCTGTACGCACCTCCCCCTGTCTGACACAAGAGGTCTGCACTAAGAGAGAGAGAGAGAGAGCAAGAGAGCGAGAGAGAGAGGACTGTCAACACTGTGATGGGGCTGATTGGTGTCAGCTTGTTTGTTTGACTTATATCTCCCCATTTTAAACTTTCTCCTTTTCTATTATTTGCTGTTCTCTCCCTTTATGCCAAATTCACAAGCAAGTCAAAGAATTTGAATGATCCCTAACAAAAAGGCCTTTCAGTGGTGGCCAGGATTTTGATTGTGGTCAGTGAAGTGGAAAACCATCCAGCTCAGTTATATACATTGTCTCTGTGCTGCACTCTGCAGTCTCTCTCATTAAGTGTGTCAGTGATTATATTTATTAACCAATAAATCAAACAACTGTTACTTGCTACTTCAGAATGCTCCAGAATGTCTCCTTCATTGTTTTTCCATATTGTTTGAGACTGATGCAGTGCCAAGTGTTATTAAGTCTTATTCAATGCAGGATTAATTTCACCAAGCCACCACAGCGAGTCAAATATTGGCCATAGACAGTAATTACTCAATAACTGCATTTTATTGGCAAATAATGAGTCAATTGGAAAATATTCATGCACTGTGATGATTCTAAAATGAAACAACCTTAACCTAATCCAATAATGAGTATTGTTGAGCCTGATTCTCTGAACTTCTACAGGGAATTGACCAAACTGACCCCTGATCAGCACTTTCAGATTGATCAGGTAATGTGCTGCACTGCAGCTGTGCAGAGCGATTAAATCAAATGACATTAGTCCATCTTGCAGTGAGATCTTTCAGGTGATTCATCAGTGATTCATTACCTAACGGATGCTTTCACAGCAGAGGTATCTGGTGCAGAGATTAATATATCTATCATTGTTGTATAAGGAAGATATATAGTCTTTGTTCAACAGACTGGGGATGACGTAAGAGAGTGGGTCTGTTACAGCACTGGACATAGACATTTTTTAATGAGAACATCACTCCAAGATCATATTGGGAGTCAGAGGCTCCCGTGTCTGTGTTATAGAGATATTTAGCACAAATCCTTGCCCTTTAAAGCTGCTCTACTAAAGCATAGCTCCAGCTGCTGTAGAGAGCTTTTAGTTCCTTCATCTCTCTTCTCACACTAAGTGACGTCAAAAGGCATATCCGATGGACCTGGGAAACTTTTTATGCCTCACACATGCAAATGGTCATCTATACGACGGCCGGACTTTGTTCCACCCACGCTCACTGCTCAGGCCTACTGCTCTGCTGCTCGCAGGAGACCAAAGCAGAGACAAATGTCTCGTCTTGCCAACTCTTGGCAGGGCCGAGACGCACTGATGTGTGTATTTGAATGAGTGTGCATGTATGCAAGTGTGTATTCCGTGGAAGCACACTGAGTTGTGGTTCCCTCAGTGGTCCTGCAGCAGCAGTAACTTGATACAAAGCACACACATTTTTGTTGCTGATCCAAGATTGTTCGCTTGCCATGATTTGAGTTTAATTCAACTTGTTGTAAAACACTGCTGTGCCGTTTGAGAGGAAAACATGTAATCAGGGTCTAATGAACACAATGTGCAACGTTATGAAAGATGGTAATATGCGCTTTCATTTTGTTGATTTGTTGCTGTATAATTTGTTTATTGTTTGAATTAATTGTTATTGCTTAAAGCTGAAAATATCTGAACCTCAGCTAATTTACACAGCGCCATTCCAAAGGTTACAGTATAGAGTACGTGGTAATGCAAAAACTCTGTTGTGTCTCTGCCCCCCCACCCCTCCTCTTCATTGCCTCTCATATAAGAAAAGATGTTTTTTCGTAAGGACTCTGGCACCGGTTTCACTGACTCACACAGCTGCTCCAGCACAGCTTTCCTCCCTCTGATTTACTGCCAGTAGTGGTATTGTCGGTTTCTAGTTGTTTTCCAGAAATATTTACTGGTACTTTCAATCCATCTGTCTGTATGCAATTTGTGCAGTGATGTTTGTACTGTTTTACCTCTGACATTTAGAGACGCAGGATGCGACAGAATGTGCTTTAAACCATATAACTCTCTTTGTGGCAACAAAGAGAGTTATATGGTTTCAATGCAAGGTTCTTTGAGTTGAACTGAAAAAGGATTTTCCTTTAGATTGGATATTCAATATCTTGTCGGAGTACTGGACTACTGCTGAGACTACTATATTAAGTACTACATACTATGGATAAGTCTCCATGCAAAGCATGTGAGGCTAAATGTTGATGTTGAATGTAAGGGTGTTAAAGTATCGTTTGAATACACAGTGCTTCAGAATAAGAGCTGGAAGGTTATACGTCTCTATATGTGAAAGCATTGTACAATGTGAATCCAAGTTCTGTTTGGACCTTCTCTGGATGAATTGTGAACCTTTAATATAAATCAAGTTGAAACTATCTTCAAAAGATACGTGCATAACTCTGTGAAGTCACAGAAAGAGATAATGGTCTTCCCAAGCTAAAGGTTATGCTATGTAATTTAGGTTACAAAACAAACATTTCATGCTTCATTGCTCCATATGAATATTTAAGGACTTTGCCTCAGAAAAATGTCTTCTCTGTCAAGAGATTCCTTCTGGTCAGATCACTCTTCAGACTTCTGTATTTTAGAAAGATACCTTTTTTTGTGACAGAATTAATTTGTAGTGAGAAGAGAGTATTTGGCCTAATTAATGAAATAATCAACTTTGAGACGAATGCTTGAGTTTTAATGAGTTCATCTGTAGGCCATTGTTTGAGAGTAACTGGGAGAAAAAACAAGTAGTAGAAACATTCAAGTTTGCAGTATAACATATTTTTTTCTTTGTGCAAAGTCAAACTGTCACACACCGTAAGCAACCGAGCAGTGCATTTGTACCGTAATTACCATTCAGAATCATCACAGATGACATTGCCAAAGCGTTGATATGAAAGAAAAAGATTTGAAAGGATTGCTAGAGATGCAAAATAGTTTGTAATTGTAATAGAGGTTCCTTGAGAACATTTTCACAATAACCCCTATAGATGTAGCCACACATGAAGGTTACATGGTTATTGACTCATATAATAGTTACATTAGAAATGTATTAGACATATTGTACGAGTTCTTGTGTCTGTTGTGGCATTCCTTTGACCCCAAATTAATAAAAAATCAAGTATTTCCTGGGTGTCTTTGTGACTCCGGTGGAGGAGGGTACAGCTGTGTTTGGTGGGAGCCAAGGGCGAGCGACTTGTCATGTCAGGGGTATTAATTTATGATTTCCATCCCAGCTTCTGACCTCTTCACCTCCATTAGAATGCAGCCTTTGTAATTTCATGGTTAATATTCAATAGCCACTTGTCCCCTGTGCCCGCTTTGTGCATGTGACATTTCTGGAGGGGGTGTGTATCATTTTTAATTTGTTGTGTATGTGTGTTTGTGCGCGTGTGCGTACATGGAAAAGGAAACCAGGGTTGACTACATTGTGAATTCCTGCAAAAGGTTTGCCGGCGTCCAGAGATGCCCTCTGAGTCTCCCACTGAGGGGTTTGAATCTAACCTGAATCGCCCCCTTCACATACACACATTACACATCTCTCAAACACATGCACACAAACCTGCACGCACAGACTAAACACATTAGCTGACCTCTTTTCTTTACAGCCTAATTCTGATCCTCCTGGAGGATGTGCAACACACTACACCCAGTAGACAGCACACAAATAAACACACAAGTACACGTGAACACAAACAGAGAAATCAGAAATTGTTTTCATGAGACATTACTGCTTTGTTCACTTTCAAGATAAAAAAAGGAGAATGAAGAGGGAGAAAAGATTAGGGCAAAAAAACTAAATATTAAACAGTAAAAGTCCCCTGCATTTCTCCACATATTGATGTATTGGCCTTCACACGCATTCCTACTGAACGACTCTGGCAAGCCTTTAAAAAAACACATTAAAGAGCTCGATTCTGCATGAGCCCAGTTGTTCCTGGTTCCAGTTGTTGTTGGTTACGAGGCAATCTGCAGATACTTGTGACAACTTAATAATAGATAAATAATAAATAACACCAGGGGTTTGATGTAAACAGATTACAGATTACCCAATCTTACTGTAGCTCCCCAGCTTTCATTACAGTCACTTTATTAAACACTTAAGCACATCCTTTACTAAGTGAAGACAAGTCCAGGATAAAGTGTCCTTTTCTTTACTATGAATTGAAAAATGTATATATATATATATATATGCATCAAGGAGGATTGAAACACTTGAAACACTATCCAAACTTAAATATGAAGCAATGAAGAAATGACAAGTAAAGAGCAGCCAGGAAAACTGAGCACTCCAGCTCACCATTGGCTTATAAAGTCTTTTTAATTTGTGCACACAGAACTTAGAATAAGGAGATGAATTTCAGAAAAAAGTTATGATATGTTTTTTTAGATACAGTGTAGTTTACAATGTTTTTGCCTTCTTAATAGTTAAGTAAGTTTGCCAAGCAAGTCAGAAGGTCAAATATATAAAAATAGGTAATTCAACAGGTAATTTATAAGCAATAATTTGTTTTTGTTATGTGAAAATTAAAGAAAAGAGTGATACATGTAGCCTGGAGTTCACATTGTTTATTCGGTATGAAACTAAGAGATTTTGACGTGACTTTCAGGACAGCAATTAAAATTGACATAAAATGGGGGTAGTGTAAACAAAATGACATTATAGTGGACTACAGTCATAATCATACAGTTACAATTCAGCTGGGCTCGGATATTATTTGGACTTCTAGCAATGGCAGCCAGTCCTTTAAATTAATATCCAAATCCCATCTCATAATACGATAATAAATCCACGAAAGTCAACAGTTAGACATTTCTGTAGTCAAAGTAATGCTAACACATTTACTGTCAACACTGTATGGACAACACTGAAAGTAAACACGTTTTCTTCCAGTACTTCTATAATAGTTCAACTGAGTTCTTTTCCGCAATCGAGAAACATGTAATGATGCCGTTCAATTGAGGACATTCTACGTCCACGAAACATTCTCCATCTCAGACCAACCAATCAGTGTTTTCTATCCCTCCAGACTGCCTCCATTCTCCACAAAGGGTGTGGCCCTTCCTTGTTTAGCCATGAAGCAGTATGTAATGATCCAGTCATAAAATATTATTCTAACACTATTACCGGTAAATAAAACTTAAATGTTGTGTTGACTGTTTTTGAACCCACCTTATTAAAAGGTTGTTTTAAATTATTGGTATTGCAGGGCACAACCTAGCAGTAGTATTGAGACATGTGTGTGTACACCTCTTCTATCCCCCATGTTTGCACATTACAGTCCAATAGGACCCGTTCAAAAACCCAGATGAAGATACTTTTGAAAAGAGAACCTCACAGGATGGTCAGACATGTCTGTATGTGCCACTGCCAAAGAGCGAGTTGCAAGCCATGCTGTCCCTTCCAGGAAGGTTTTTGTTGACTTTAGTCCTTCAGTTACAACTCTACTGGAAAAGAAGAAAAACTAAAATAAATGTGATATAACAGAAAGCAACAGACCACATGAAGCCAGTTAGTGAGCTTCCCATTTAGAAAAAACATAATCATTAATTCATTCAAAATATTGATTTTGGTTTTAAAGATTACCCCTTTGGAATGTGTTTGAGTTCAGTGAGACGAGGCAGAACAATGATCATGAAACTGAGTCAGAAGTGAGAAGAACCATCATTTCAGTTTGGTTGAGTAAATAAACAATGAACCTTTTAATATTAACGTTAATATGTACTCGTTTTTCTGCTTTCCCTAACAAAAGACAAAAGGGTTTGAATGAAATCAAAGTGACTGTGTAGCTAAGTAAATATTTAGGGTCCTATTTATTTTGTGTCACAATTGACTTACCGAACAAGAAGTTCACCAGTCATTTGGGTTTTAAACTTGCAAACCCCCCATAATTTATCACATCTGCCCCAATTCTTTTTGTGACAGGCTTATGTCACTGAAATGATGGTTCTTCTCACTTCTGACTCAGTTTCATGATCATTTTTCTGCCTCGTCCACTGAACTCAAACACATTCCAAAGGGGTAATCTAAAATGAAGTAACGCTTTACAAATCTGCACTCTGAATATGATTTAAATCTAAACAAATGACATTGGTCGCATGTCTGTACACGACATTATAAACTCCAGTTCGCCCTTCATAAAACAAGACATTTGCATTGTTTTCCAAGGCTTCCAGTATTTTGTCTCAGTTTAGTTCGAACATTCTTTCTGATAGAAACCGATATTAAGAGTCATGATATCTTTGTAAGAAAACTTTTCTTTTTCGGTGTTATCAGGTTAATTAACAGCCTTAGTGTATAGTTATATCAACAGTGTTATAGTTCAGCCCTTAAAAAAGGGTTTATTGAACACCAGCCACATAAGCATAGTGAGACCCTTTAAAGTATTAGTAATTGTGGCCTAGAAATTAAGAGTCCAGTAAGAGGAAATACCTTTTTGGTATTTCCAAAAGAAATAGGGTTCAACAAACAGTTTTTGATGAGGAGAGAGATTTGAATCAAGTCATTTAAAAAAGCACAGATCAGATCTTGGTGTCATCACAAGAGGTATTAGGTACCGTTCACACCGCGAGCATATGGATCTGTCTTAGCATAATGTCGCAAGATTTTCACTCAAGGAATCAAACTAGATGTAGAGCAGTGTCCGCTTTACACAGAGCACTGCAAATCTAACCCGATAACACAGAAATGTGATTTTCACATTAGAAGAGAAATGCAAATATCTTAACTAAAATCTAAAAAATAAGGATTAACAGAGATTTGGTAAAGGCAAGGACTGTACTTGAAAATTCAGGCCTTAAGATAAGCCAAGGCTATTTGTTCACATAGCAACAACAACAAAGAATGAAACCTATTAAAAAAAGAGATGATAACTTTGAGTCCTCTAACAGTCCGCCACCAGCTCTGACTATTCAGACGAGGAAGGATTCACTGAATAAAACCAAAGCCAGTCAAAATAAAAAATGTAAAGGTAAACAAATGTGAATCATTAAACGAGGAGAGAACTTTGATTAAGAACTCTCTCCCTTCACATGTTGGAGGAAAGAATGTGTCCATGACATACCCATCAACTACAGTACTTATTTAATTGGATCCATCTTGAGGCTGATACACAACACTCTCATGATTTTCCTCTGAATAAGTCTGTTAAGTGAGATTACATGAACAGAAGAAATTTGTGTGTAATATTGCCACAAGCCACCATTAACATTTTTCCTATTTTGTACGTTGCAACAAGACAAAAGACAGCGCTGGATTCAACATCCTCCCGTAAGGCTGTGTGTGTGTGTGTGTGTGTGTGTGTCACAAAGGCCACTGTATGCAATCAAAAAATACTTTAACCTTGCCAAGGACAGGAGGAGAGACTACATTTCTACTGAGATCTGAGCGTCCATTTTCCCATTATACTACTTTTCTTATCTACAGAAACGCTAAAATCCGGTTAAATGGAGCCATATTCTCATTTGCCTTTAGAGGTCATTTTTCATGCTTGGAGAATTCCAGACTCAGAGGGCACAAGGGAATCCATTGTAATAATAGCCTGTTCTGTGAGGGTCCAGAGGCCCTTTCTGCAGAGCCTGGCAGACACAGCTGAAACCCCTTCTGCCCCGTACATCCAGCTATGCAGCAACGATCAGCAAAGATGAGCCGGTGGAAGCTCCTGTCCCGTTGATCAATAAAAGAAGGAAGAATTCCTCAGTGATTGCTCTCAGGATCTTTTGCTTGACAAACCGTATAAGAAACATTGGACATATTGTGTGGCCCTCGAGGCCGGCCATTAGAGTGTAAACCAAGGAGCTCAGGCAACAAAGACTTTTGGCTTAGATAAGACACAAGTCAAAGTGTTCCTGGGCTTGTGAGAGTGTGTAGCGGACATCTCCTTTGCCACCCTGTGGTGGGTGTTTGGGCCCTCAGGAGGAGAAGCAAAGGCTGCAGCACTCCATGCAGATCTCAAGGCAGTCTGCAGACTCACAGCAGGCGTCGATGATGCCACAGTCCATGTCACAGGGGAGGTCACAGTCGCCACACTCCTCGGTCGCACAGCAGCAGCAGAAACACGAGTCGTCGCCCGCGCAGGAGCCGCAGGTGGCACAGTCCAGGACGATGTTACACAGAGTCAGGAACTCACAAAAGAGGCAGGCCAGAATACAGTGGACACAGCAGTCTGGAGAGAAAGAGTGCCATACAAAGTGAGTTTCTTAACATTCACTATTCATGATTACATTTTACTGTAAAAATGTTGTAATCTAATCTACATTTATTTTTCTCCTCCATGCTACATTTTACTAAATTGATCAGGAATAGTTGGGCAATGGAGTCACTATGTGAGGTCAGAATTCACCCAATTCAACTCTGATTAGTTTACTTCAGTGCCAGGCCAGAGTCTAAAGACGTCCAGTCCTGATGGAATTTAGTAGGGAGTAAAACATTTCTGTTGGTAATACGCCTGTTATCTTTACCTCTCTACTCAACCAGAGAACCACCCTCGTCTTTATAGAGTTGTCAGTATTGGTCAAACCTGTACATGTAAGTATCAGTGAAAATACAAGGTACCCCTTCACAATATAACAGTTACCTTGAGTTGTAAATGATAACTGTCAAGTTTTGTCTGTCATGAATCTAGCCTCTTTAAGATAAAAAGCTTTACACAACCACTCAAGCCGGAACAGGAGGTAGAGGAACGAACCTGCATTCCAAAGCAGGAATTGTTAAAGAAATTACAAGGTTAAAACATTTTGATTGTTTCCTTTTCTAATTTTCTCTTTTGTTTTTTTATTCAAAAAAGCAGTTCAGTTGGCATCTACAGTTAGTAAAGATTTATTAATCCTAATTTTTGAGTGGATTCAAAATATATTCTTCAAATAAAAGAGAGATGAGATGCTGCTTCTGCTGCACCAAGGCTAATTTAACCATTGCATTTACAAAAATAAAAGAAAATACAATTCCATTACGTTTGTTTGGGGCCAGAGAAGATGCGCAAAGAACAATTCTGATCCTTTGGCAAGACGTGTGGAATAAAACTGTCATTTTAAACCTTGCTACCAATCCCTCCCTCTACTGCTGCCTACAGCCCCTCCGTCAGTCTCTGCATCTCACCGTCCTGTCCCTCGGTGGGAATCTGAGAGCTGTTGCTCTTAGAGCTGCTCTTGCTTCTCTTGCTGCTCTGGGAGGTGATAGAGGGGTTGGACTGCAACTTCTTGGTGTGTTTGGCTCCCGCTGAAGAGGACGAGGAGGTGGATGAGCCGCCTCTCGGGAGGGAGCCCAGCTTAGGATGCTCATGGCCTCCGTTCCTGACGCCGTTGGACTGAAGGTTGTGCGTGTGAGGCATGTGATGTGTACAGTGCGTGTGAGATGAGTGTGCGTGGTGCTTGGCTCCGTTGCGTAGGTGGCTGCTGGGCTGTGTCCGGCATGGCTGGGTGTGATGGCCGGCCGTAGATCTGGCTGCTGGTTGATCTGGAGAGGGACAGGAGGATATCTACAATAAGCATTTAAAAAATGAATAGAAATACATTTAGTTCAAGATATACAAAATATAAATGAAAAATAGTCTCCAACAATAAAGTGGTATTTTTTGTGGACATTGTGTAACTGTTTTATGTATGCATATATATCTATATCTATCTGTAGATAGATATTGATATACAGTTGTGGTCAAAAGTTTACATATACCTGTAAAAAACATAATGTCATGGCTCTCTTGAGTTTCCAGTTATTTTTACAACTCGGTTTTTTCTCTAATAAAGTGATTGGAACAGATACTTCTTTGTCACAAAAAACATTCATGAAGTTTGGTTATTTTATGACTTTATTATGCGTTAACAGCTAAAGGGACAAAATCGTCTGGGTCAAAAATATACATACAGCAGCATGAATTAGGAATTTTGGTGACTTAGAAAGTCCAACCAATCCAGTGTTTTAAATCCAGTGTTTTAAATATTCTTTCGTTCAGCGTTTTCTAACTTTGCTCCAGATGTTTGGCAGGCTGCAGGGCCAGTGTGTGTGTGTTTTTTTGTGCATTTGTGAGTAGTCGTGCTTGCATGTGAGAAAGATGGAGAAGTATGTCAAAGGCCAATACCTAATGCTCTCCTGTGTTATGTATTATCCTATACCTAACTTAACCTCATCCTCTTCTGTCAATCAGTCGTATGGCTCCTTTAGCCTTTGACACAATACTGTATTTTAACTCGTTGGCTAGGATGTAGGTCGGTGAGGGAAGAGGGGGATTAGAGAGAGGGGAGGGAAACTGTGCACAATTGTTTCGTATTCCCTCTAGGTCTCTATTGTGAGTGGTTGAGAAATTGATCATTTCAGTTTTTGTTGTGTGTGTGTGAATGTATGAACACATGACATAGGCGGCTCTGGCAGGCAAACAAACGGACAAAGAGAGAGAGAGAGAGAGAGAGAGAGAGAGAGAGAGAGACAGACAGACAGAGAGACAGGGAGTCAGGACTGTCTACAAACTAGGCCCACTCGCACACAAATATATGCATTCATGCGAGGACACGTGCAGACACACACTCATGGATATGCACACACACTGACAGAACACAAGGTCCCTTTGTCTGAGATCAAGAAAGCGGGCTAAGAGAGAAAGCTCAGTGAGAAAGAGAGAAAACAAAGTTGAAGAAATAGGTTGCTGCCCGTGCATATTTGGACTAGAATGGGTGTGACTCACAAACACCGATTCAGCAGTGAGAGCTGGCTAAAAATACCAGCAACTAAAGAACCAAATGACTCTGTGATTAACATGATGAGACTGGAAGCCCGCAGAGCGTGCGTGTGTGACGTTAAGCGGCAGCGTTGGCCATCGGGGGTCCAGCGACCTCTATGATGTGTGTATGTAAGTGTAGGTCGGTGCAGATGTGCTGGGCGTGACCCTCAGTAGAATACAGCTGCCCACACCCCCACATGCACACTTCCCTTTTCTCCACTTTACTCTCAGATACCCTGTCCTGACACACCTCCCTCCCAGACCAGTCTCTCTCTCTCTCTCTCTCTCTCTCTCCACGAATCTGCCTTCTTACTAACTATTAACTATACAAACATTACATACTTTACATACTGTTGCATTACTAAGCACAACATAGCAAAAGTATCTGTCTCTCCAATCTAACATTTTCTGCTCACTCTCAACACCGAAATAAATTCTGATTTCTTACAGTGTAATTATTTTGCTAATCATGATATATGCCAAAGAAAGTGCCTTTAAAACATCTTGTCAGTCCTGCCTACTAAGACAGTGAGACTGGGAAAATTATACTTTGCTGCTGTATAATCTTATTTAAAACCATTTAAAATATTTTGCCAGCTACATGTACACATCGCTTCAATCAACACTACAGTGTTATATTGAAAAAGTAATATGAGCCATGAGTTCAGTCAGATCAAGACAAGCAAGACATAAATGTGATTCACAATATCCCATCATCCAAATTAAGACTGCACCAACAACATTTATAAAAGTCCATGTGAACTTGATGAACCACCGTCATCAGTGCTGCTGCTGACTTTACTGTACGTGTTTGTGTTAATGTGCTGCTAGGTTAAATATAACAAGGCCTGTCAAAAAAAAACACACCTTATCTCTAACTACCAAAACAATGCTACGGTGAAACCGTGTCCCAATGAGCTAGTCATATCGATAGAACATTGAAAAAGACGATGTACCAGAGAGCTGCAATTCTAGCAAAATCTCAGTGAAGTGTGTGGGAAAATTAAAACTAACTGAATTAACATTTACATTTTGATTTTAAACAACAAATTGATGGTATCATGTTTGAGTCTTTCACCTGTAAAGTGTATACATACGGTATAATAGCAAAAATATGATCAGTATTTATTATACTTTATTTTACTATCCTGATGTGTTCATCCCTGCACATGTTTGCAGAATATATATGTCGGGAAAAATGCAGCCGGGTACGGGCATTAGTCTCTTTGTTATTTAACCTGTTTTGTTTCTGTGTTTGTGGATAAATACACAAAAGTTATTTTTATTTTTTTGAAACCTTGATTCATTTGCGTGAGTGGAAAAAGTGAGCAAATGGTTAAAGAAGAGGGTTTGGCCTACAAAGGAGGCTCTTTGATCTGAGACATCAACAAACCACTTCTTTCCCAATCGACCCCTGGAACATCACTACCCACAGTGTGTCGCCATTAACTGTACATTCTAGTTTATGTTTATTTTATGTGTTTGTGTTTACATTAGAGCAAAAAGGAGATAGTAAAATCAGGGGAAGACAGCAGAGACTGACAGAAAAGGAAACAGAGAATTAAAGGCAGAGGAGCAGAGATGGAAAAAGGCTTCAGCACAGTGACCTGTCTCTAATTAAAGGCAACATCATAGTCCTGTTACATTTTCCATCAACAACACACTGCACACTCCTCTCTATCCATGACAAGATAGTAACAAACAGCAGTTCACTTACACACATGTCCATGTACGCATTGGCTGATATATAATAACGGAAGTCTCTCTGTTTTTTGTATCTAATCTGTAATTCTGTATCTATGAGCAGTTAAACATCTTTGTCACTGACAGTGTGTGTGTGTGTTTGACTCATAACATACACAGAGCCCTGGAATCAAGAATTTCATTATGATTCATTCATTCATTAATAGATGAGATATTTCAATATTATGCTCTCTCTAACTATTCTGTTTGGTAAACAAGAGATTCTGCTCCTTTTTTTCCTGTTACTGTGCACTGTTAATGCTAATCCAGAGCAAAACAGGGATGAGGCTAACACACACTGCATGTCTGAAGCAACACTATCTTGATTTTGTTGAAAAACAAAGTATATCAAAGCTAATGGTATGAATCACTTGGTTATGTAAGGCGGTCTAACCTTGACGAGCAGGAACATCTCTGTGCGTGTTAAGCTGAAGGAGACGTAAGCAGGACCTGAAGGCATGGGAAGTGCTTCCTGCTCATCCATTCTATTAGATGGCGGTACACAAACCACACACACATACCTAATCACACACACACACCTGTTAACACCTTGCTCTCAGAAAGCTTGTCACAGGTCTAGACACATAATCTATAGCTCTGATGTCATCAGTGCGAGACAGAGCACACAGAATGAGGCTATTTTCTGCTTTTGCTTCTATTTCCTCATCCTTTTACTCGCACACACACACACACACACACACACACACACACACACACACACGCACGCACACAGACACACACATTCACAAGTGTTATGCAGCCACCCATGACCTCACCCCTGACTTGAGTCAAAGCAATTTTCTAACGTCTTCCCACAGATCATAAATACAGTAGAACAGATGATGATTGATTGATTAGTTTGTGATGACACAGATTCATATTCGAATTGGCTTATGACAAAAAAGACACACACACAAACCAACATACACACGCAAAAAGAACGAGCAGAGATAAGATCCATATCATATCTCTGCTTGTTCTGAACTGTCACAGTTTACTTAATGTTTCTTTTTTTGTACATAGTGTTTAATGTTCAATGTTACTTCAAAGTGCTGTAAACGCATGAGTGATTGTGTAAAGTTTAAGAATGAGGACGCTATGGACAAAGTGAGGAGGCACATGAAGGCAAGCCAGGGAGGACTGGTGTTCATGGCGGTACATTTTGTCCAAGCCTGCTGTAGTTGCATCACCCGCCCTCCACAGCATATGGAGCTTGTGGTTCGATTTTATTGGGATGTAAAATAAAGCAGGGAGAGAAAGTCAGACGGAAACTCAAATTTCAGCTTGGGCCTGAAATAGGCAAACACAGCAAACAGGAGACGTATGGACACAAACAGGACACAAACGGAGACAGCAGACACTTACGCACCCACTTAAAACACACTGAGTTCACCTACTGATTCATTTCCTGACTGTTCAGTTACCGCAAACTAGCTATTACCACGGGGCAGGCTTGTATAGCTACCCCTGGATCCCAGGAAGAAACGCTTTTTGTTTTGTAATACTAGCTCGCATTACAGGTCACTCAACCCTCTTCTCACCTTTCTATTCCTCCTGTCATTCAAACTCATCACCCCTCTTTTTCTGTGAATGACAGGAAGGGAAAGTTTGGACAGCGGTGTCATATTTACATTTTTTTGAGAGTGCGTTTAGCATCCGGCCAACTTAGCCACAGGTATGTTTATTATTGCAAAGCTTGGTCTTCTAAGTGAATAAATTACTGAAACAGTAGAACCGAAAATTAGGTTGAGATTCTACCCATTTCAAACTGGAGTGAAAGCCACCAAAATATTTGTGGTGATAAGAACATAGCGTGCTTGCGTAATTTTTGGCTTTGCTACAGAGAGTTGGAGCAACTCACGTCAAAGAGAGGGAAAGAAAGTATCTCTGGCGGAAACATAACCATGGGACTAGTAATATCTGGGAGGGAAATGGGTGGTGGCGGTTTGTGATTTGACTCTGGAAGGAAAAACTCCAGGTGTTATGACGGTCCTCGCCAGCAAATTAGGGTGGAGGGTATTGACTGAACAGCTGGAGATTTTGGGAGGTAGATTAGCTTGGACAGCTCAGTATAAATAAAAAACACACAATTTGAGACACAGTCACGTTTCCTCCTACAATTTTCTTACTTCAATACAAGCCTGGCAACTTATTGAATCAATTTAACATGTTATTGGAGAGGATTGCTCAGAAACAGCATCAAAGATTAAGGAAAACTACTGGTTTCTGTTACGGAACTACAAAAACCTCATCAAAAATCGCATTGACATTTTTAATAACGCAAACAACTAAAGAATCTACTGCAGAAGAAAAATCTTTAAATGCATGTTGGGTGTTTTGCTTTATATGTCTAGACTGGGATTGTACAATGTTTTTACAGAAAGAATTTGTGAGATTTGCTAAACATATTAGTATAAAGCAGGTTGTCAAAACCTTTTTCAAAGAGGGCCATTTGATAATGGGAAGATCTACGGGGGCCAAAAGTCCCTACTGACATTTTTTAACCATAAAAGTTACATGCAAATAATACATTTAATACAATAAATATTATCTTTATTTTTCAAATGTAATTGTAGCCAAATATAAGCCCCTCAGGCAGGCGTGAACAACTTGAACAACACAATTCTCCCTTGCATTCCTATCTGAGTCAGATAACATTAAACAAACTTTATGGAATACTTCCATGAAGTTGATCTTTAGTCGTAGGTAAAGCTGTCTGTTGTCTGCTAAAAGAGGAATTGCATTTTAACGTTTTATGATTGATTTATTGGTGCTAACAGGCCATACATTATATGGTATAAAGCAAACTTGAACAAACATCATTCTCAATGAGACTGTTGTGGGTTAGAAAGGAAAGGAAAGAGACTGAAGCCAAATGAGCAATCCAAATTAACAGGGAGGGACAAATTGCAGAGATACATTAATTTTCTTTGTAGACAACAAAGAAGTGAGGAATGAGAGGGATGGATTATATTTGACAAAGGTCCACAACTTGAATCGAATTAAGGATATTGTGGTCACTTGGTCAACATCTTAAACCCTAAGGCCTAAAGATAATACTTGGGCACACCAGACAACCTCAATGTGACAGAACTCAAATTAAATCAAATTTAATTGGATCAGATAAAAGTGCCATATGAACCTTAAATAGGTGATGTATAAGTTGTATTCTCAGCCAGAGAATCCAATGCAGAATAAAGAGCAAAGGAAGAGGAAAGGTGTTTCATTTCAAGTTTGGGTATTTGGGTGCTTTTGTTCAGAAATCAGAAAAGTATCTTACTTTGCTGACAATGTACTATAGAAAAAATATCTCTGTGTGTTGATTACCTGCCCTATTTCTTCAGGGTGTGCAAATGTATTTGTTTAAGGTTGTGACAATGTGACTCATCAGACCAGTGATTGGTAAGAGTGTGTCTGTGTGTGAGGGTGCCTTTTACTCACATGTGATGCTCTTGTTGGGTGTTGTAAGCTCCGAGTGCGAGAGGCTGGTGCTCCACTTGTCTCCATCACCGCCTTGCAACCTTTCTTGGGTGCCATTTAACTTCAATATGAGGGGCTCAGTATAGGTGTGTGCCACATCTAAAAAACACACAGAGTTACATATACAATTAAAAAGATCTGTTTTCTGTAAGACCACACAGGTTTAGGTTCATGTTAAGTTTATGTTTAAGGTTTAAGGTCTAGTTTTTCCCGAGTGAGTGGCAGTTTTCCTTGAGGATTTCATCAGGAATCAGCAGTGAGCTGTTTACTTGTAGAAAACGTGTCTACTCCAATGTAATTTCCTATCCACTAGCACTTAATTATTTTAAACAGAGTGGTTCTGCTGACTTCAACAAAGCAGAAGATTTAGTCTGTATGTGTGTGCTCTCTCCTGAACTTGCATCTGGAAGCAGTTAAATCCAACCCCTTGGGACTGTTTAGTAGTCTATGTGTGTGCTTATGAAACCCGAAATCTGTGTGGGTCTATGTGCCATGAGTGGATGTATGTGTGTTTAAAATGCACACATAAGATAGCATACACATCATATACAGTAAATACATGTGTGGGTGTTTTACGTGTTCACCGGTACCATGCAGAGCTCTAATGAATCTGTTATTATGCACACATGTGCATACATACATACGCACTACACAGAGGCCTTCAAAGCAGGGCAGGCTCGGGCCTCTGAGAGGTGCAGACTCATTCCTCGGCAAATGGGAGCCAGCTGGGTTTGATAAACACACACACACACACACACACAGACACACATAACCAAACCGCGTCCTGTACGTGGACTCAACACTTCCCGGCTATGTTTATTTACTTTATCCAGTCTCGCTCACTTCTCTATCTGTCCTCTTTTCTGTCCCCTGCCTCTAGCGCTCACCGTCTCAAGTTCACATTCCCTCTTTACAAATAAATTCCTTCACATATTTGACACAACTCCATGGATTAATTCCCACTTTTAATGTAAAAAATATACTGTCTATGCATAGCGAGCAAAACTTTAGAAAGAGTGATTTGTGTGAAGTGAAGTGAAGGAAAGACTCATACTGTAAAACCTATTGAGGCAGTGTACTTAAACAACAATTTAATAATGAAAAGGTGATTTGTGGGAATGAGATAAGTAGTTGATAGTATCAAGGTAGTGTTTGTTCCAACATAAATACTGTAAAGTATTCATCATATCATTGAAAAACTTTGCTTTACTTTAGTAAAGCCGGTTCTCTTTGTAATAGTGTACAGGGCCCCAGGTCCTTATTCAGAATTTCTTTCTGAATTTTCACAGTTCTTAACGAGTTTGGTCCTTAAAACGGACAAGGCAATAATTGTGGGTGACTTTAACATTCATGTGGATGTCGACAACGACAGCCTTAGTACTGCATTCCTTTCATTGTTAGATTGAATTGGTTTCTGTCAGTGTGTAAATAAACCAACTAACTGTTTTAACCACACTCTCGACTTGGTTCTTGTGTATGGGATTGGGATTGAACATTTAACAATTTTTCCACAGAACCCTCTCCTGTCAGACCATTGTCTGATAACCTTTAAAAATCTACTATCGGAACCACCTCCTCCTGCCAAGGGTTTCTACAGTCGACGCTTATCGGATACCGCTGTAGCCTCATTTAAAGAAGCCATTCCTTCTGCTCTAAGTTGAGTGCCCTGCCTCAAGATACAAGAAGACTCCTGTGAGAACCTCAGTCCGTCCCAGATCGATAATTTTGTCAATACTGCTACAGGCTATTGCTCCTCTGGAAAGAAGAATAGCAACAAGAAGGAAGTCTGCTTGTTAAATCAAGAATAGATTTTAAGGTACTTCTCCTCACCTACAAGGCACTTGCTGGTGAGGCACCGTCGTATCTTAAAGAGCTTGTAACACCTTATTGCCCTACAAGGCAGCTGCGCTCCATAGATGCTGGGTTACTTGTTGTTCCTATGGTTTTAAAAAGTAGGCTGGGGGCCAGAGCCTTGAGTTATCAAGCTCCTCTTTTGTGGAACCAGGTTCCACTTTCAGTCCGGGGTCAGCTCTTTTAAAGTAAAACTTTCCTCTTTGATTCTGCCTATAGTTAGGGCTGGCTGAGGTTAGCCCGGACCAGCCCTTAGTTAAGCTGCTATAGGTTTAGACTGCCGGGGGACTTCTTAGGACACACCAAGCTCTTCTCTCATGCTCTCGTTCTACCATAATTCACGTTTTATTGATGCACATGAATAATTCAGCTTCTTTCCAGGACTTTTTTTGAGCTTTCTCCCCTAGCAGGTCTCCATAGATCGTAGTTCCTTCTGGACCCTGGTCCTGACACCTACCGTGCCCTGCTGACGCCTGCTGCTGCCATCATCATCATCATTATTATTTTAGATATTAATCATATTACTGTACTCGTAAACCAACATTACCCTCTCCTAAAGTCTCTGTGCTCTCCCTCCCCACAGGCTTCTGTAGATGGTGGTTCTATCTGATGGTGGTTGCCCCTGCAGTGGTCCTGCTGTGCGCCTGGCTTACTACTCCCAATTACTTGAATCATTTCTGTCATAGGAATTGCATGTATTATACATTGTTCATTCTGTACACATGGCATCCATTGTAGTCTGTCCATCCCGGGAGTGGGATCCCTCCTCTGACGTTCTCCCTAAGGTTTCTTCCCTTTTTTCCCTCTTGGAAGGGTTTTTTCATTTTTTGGGGAGTTTTTCCTGTGCCGATGGTGGGTTTCGGGACAGAGGATGTTGTATGTGTACAGACTGTAAAGCCCTCGGAGGCAAATGTGTAATTTGCGATTTTGGGCTATACAAAATAAAATGAATTGAATTGAATTGAATAGTATAGTCTTTAATACACCAAAGGGAAGCTGTTCATCAGCTTGGCAGAGCTGTGTTTCTTTAAGGTAAAATCACACACTTTACGCTTATGACTGTGTTTTATATAGACTTAATTTAACTACTGAAGAGAAGGCCAGATAGCAGACAAATTACATTACATTTTAGGTCTGAGCAACATATTAATAGTTCGGGTATTAGATTTTGCACACTGTATTAAGATTTCACGACTCAAATTAATCGATCAAATTTCTTAACTGCAAATTGATTTTTGAATAAGTTGTTAAATGAATTCTGCGATTCATCTTCTTTGTATAATCAAACACTGAATATCTGAGATTGTCATCTTGAACTTATTTTTCCTGTTTTTGTTGTTTCTTAAATCAAACCAAACAATTCATTCATAAATTACCAGCAGACAAAACAATAGAAAATAAGTGTTAGGCAGCTTTAATGTCCTTTGAAACACACATACACAGAAAATAAAAAATAAAAAACTCTACTCTGACTCTACAAGATGAGCATTCATTTGACTGCCTTAACAAAGAAAAAATATGACATGGTAAGAGATAAAAACTGCAATAATCATTGCAACATTTCCCCAATTTACCACAAAGTTGAAAATTGGGTTTTTATTAGCGGATTACAGCTGTATGTTCTCTCTCTCTAACTTTTCTTTTTGGCAAACAAGAGATTCTGCTCCTTTTTTTCCCGGTACTGTGCAATGTTAATGCTAATGATTGTAATGTTGCATATTGTCAAAGCAGCAAACCCAGAAGCAAAACAGAATGAGGCTAACACACACTGTTGGCATGTCTGAAGCAACACTATCTTGATTTTGTTGAAAAACAAAGTATATCAAAGCTAATGGTATGAATCACTTGGTTATGTAAGGCGGTCTAACCTTGACGAGGAGGAACATCTCTGTGCGTGTTAAGCTGAAGGAGACGTAAGCAGGACCTGAAGGCATGGGAAGTGCTTCCTGCTCATCCATTCTATTAGATGGCGGTACACAAACCACACACACATACCTGATCACACAAACAGACACACACCCACACACACATTACTTCCTATATGTAGTACGAGCTCTCGCCACACACACACACACACACACACACACACACACACACACACACACACACACACACACACACACACACACACACACACACACACGTATGCTCTTCTCTTCACGTGGAAGCCATCTCTAAGGTCCATGTTGTATCCATTAGTCTCAATCAGCCAGCTTTAGATATAAAAGCCACTAGTGAGAAGGTTTTTCCTCAACACTGACAAATATCTATTTTAGAGGTATACATGTGTATCATTCAGGTTGTGCATGTCTCTGCCAAGCAGTTTATATGTCGGTCCATCATTACATTCATTCACCCATCCGTCATTATTTTGCTTTCTTGTCATTACTTTGAATAAAACTTGTGATGAGCAAGCCCGTCAGCCATACATCTAGTCACTTGGGATTTTCTGTCTAATATTTCTATACTTAGTTATCATTTAGCTTCTATAAATGTTATCTATAATTGTCCATTGTTCTATGCAGCTGGTATCCATTTATCAAAATATTGAGGATGGATCATAAAAAAGTGCTGGCGGGCAACAATTGACTATAATGACAGAAGACAGTTGGCAGGTTTTTGAAAATAGGGAGATCGGAAATATAATTCAAACAAAAAGCGCCTTAGGTGGCATTTAACGGTTATACTATCTGCTTTCCCATGTTGTTTTGGTCTTACTCTGTGGAAGCTGCTTTTGGGGGCAATTATTTCATTATCAAAGCCACATGAGAGCTGAGCATAAGCAAACTACAGGAAAGGAAAAGCTGGTCTTCTTCAGTGTAAGCCTCATAAATACACAACAACTAATTTTAATAAGAATCCATCGTTATTACACCTGAGAAACACATATAGGCCTACATCAGCGAACTAGCAAAGACTTGAGTTGGAATTGGAAGTGTGAGGAAAGTCTGTATTGCTGCCAGTGTTAATTTGGTCGACGAAAACTATGACAAAAAATGTTCGTTAACGACCTTTTTCCCATGACTAAGACGAGACGTGACGAAAACGGATCTTTGAAAATAAAACTATCACTAAATCTATTCTAACTTTCGTTAACGAGACAAGACGAAAATGTTGGTGGTTGACGGAGTCACAATACTTTTTTAATTTCAATTTTAGTAACACTTAAATGGAAACTTAGTACTTAGAAATAGTCACGGCTTGACATTAGGTTGCATGAGACGGTCCGTTACAGTAGTCTTCAACAA